GAATCGATGCGGCATTACTAACGTCGCAGAACCTTCGCGCGGTTCTTTGATCTGACTGAATCGTATTTTCAAGGTCCGCTTGTTGCAAGATATAGACGACCACAAGAGCTGATTAGGAAACGAACTTTTCTTATTTTGTATTATATAAACCCTTCGTGTGATCGAAGATTTGCTGCACGGGTGTCAAAATCATAGATTTGCCATTTTTTGTCTGTAAGGGTTATAGCGCGCTCATCACGATTTTTTTTTTGGAGCCCGGTTTTGGGAATAGCATATAGCTCCCGCTTATATAAAAAAATTGATGTTAAGAGGCGCGATTTTTATTGCCAGATGGACACCAATTAGCGCATTTTTCGCATTTTATGATTTCTTGGAGCATCAAATATCTAACAAGATATGGATGGTCCCAAGGGTTGCTGAATCTTATTATTCTGGAATAGATTCGAAAGTAAGTATTGAGGATCAAAAACCCGTGAAATTGCTACTAATGGCCTCTTCGTGAATAACTCATTTAAGTTTTCACCAAACGCCGTCACACTTAGGGCATGCATTAACATCCCCGCCGGGGAGGGGATCACACTTCAGAAAAAAGCTTTATATCCTGAAGCTTCAGATATCCGGATTTCGCGCTGTCCTCCTGTCCGTAAGTACTCCCACCATCCTTCACTTCGAGCATCTTGAGTGGGTGCAAGAAGCGGTACAAGCAGCATTTTCCGGCTTTGTGTATGATCCCCTGATGATCCCTCGCGGACAGACATCTTTTGTTCAACGTCATTTATCTTCTGTTAACGAAAACATTCCAAAGTGTACTGTTATCTAACCCAACAGTGCTAAGCATGTTGCTGATAAGAACAAATGAGTTTTTCGAATATCGATTTTTTCGATAAACCAGGACTTCCGACTTGTGGTCCATCGCAAATTTCATAACTTCGAAACATCACTTGTTCACCAAAAACATGATTAGACTGTTGGGTTAGATAAATAGCACAACTTTGGAATGTTTTTATTGACTTCGATAAAAGAAAAATGAATTTATAGTAAAAACGGTCGATAGCCAGGGATCATCAGAGGATCGAACAAAAAGCTGGAAAATGCGGCTTGTACAGCTTCTTGCTCCCATTTAAGTTGTTCATAGTGAAGGATGGTGGGAGTACTTACGGGAAGGTAGACAGCGTAAAAACCAGATATCTGGAGCTTCAGGATACGAAACTTTCTTCTCTGCGATCCCCTCCCCGGCGAGGATGTTAATGCATGTGGCCTTTAGAGAGAGGTAGCCTCAGAAACATGAAGGGAAGCGTGTTTAGTCGAAGTAGCCTTTCCAGATGAGACCCCCTACTGCTTGAAGAGCATTAGGCGGTGATTCCGAACCTGCCTTCCAAATCTGCTCAACGCCTCCGGACGCCGAGTTATGGGTGTTTCTCAGGCAAAAAAATTAAACGCAAAACTTTAACAAAATCGCCCCAAAATTTGCTCAAATGGTCCAGTGTCAAGTATCAGAGCCGTTTATGCAATGAATACATATTGTCTAATATGCTTATACTTAACATTGGTTTATTTGAACGCTGGAAAGATTGTAACAATCGATTTTACTTAATTTTCGCATTCATTTTTCGTTCCAAAAAACGGTCATAACTCGGCGTCCAGAGGCGCTTGGCAGATTTGGAAGGCAGATTTGGAATCACCGTGCAATACTCTTCAAAACAGTATGGGTCTCATCTGGAATGGCCACTTCGATCACGCTTTCCTTGTTAGCAAGTCAGAACATTTCGTCCGGTATTCTTGTAGTTGTAAGACTCACCTAGCTCTAAATTGGGCCGTTAAACTCATGAGCTCTGGAGAAATCGCGCCTTTTGACTGTCTCCTAAAAAATAAAGGGCCTTGACGTCAATGATGAACAACGTGCCTTTACGCATAAGAGCAGTGCGAAACACAACCCTTAAAGGCAGCGTCCGGCCAAAAACTTGATTTTGAGATCTTGTGCTTATACGGGCCTATTCATCATGCTGAATCCGAAAATCCACACTGGAAAGCACGAAAACGGCAAAAAGGCTCTAGCGCAGGTGGGAAACAGCAAATGGGCGAGGTCCTCCCCCCTGTGAATTCACGCCAGCTTCTAGAGCGGTCCCGCTAGCCGTCCTAATAACGCTACCGGCCAAGTGCGAATGATTGACTTGAAACCGAAAGCGAGAAGATCGCTCTGGAAGCTGGGAGCGTGAACTCACAGTGGGGAGGACTCCGCCCACCAACTGATTTCCCTCTTGCGTTAGAGCCGTTTTTGCCGTTTTCGCGCTCTCCAATGTGCATTTTCGGTTTCAGCGTAGCGAATAGGTCCGGCGATAAGCGCAAAATCTCAAAATCGGTTTTTGACGGGTACTGCCTTTACACAATTCCTATAAATTTGAAAAGTTGGTCTTTAAGGCCCCGGACAGACTTCACGCGATTTGATCGTCGCGACTGAATCGCGACGAGACAACTGTTACAACATCATTCCATGCCGATCAACTAGCATTTCGGTTGTGATACTTTTCCAGCCCGAAATTTTTTGAATGTGAAACGAAAACGAATGGAAATGTCGGCGATTGAGTCGCGACGATCAAATCGCATGAAGTCTGTCCGGGCCTAACGTCCCTCGTGCTGCACATGGTGTAGCACGGTATTTCCCCGCGAACGATTTCGCGGTTCTGGTTAAGCTCTAAGAGCCAGACACAGCATGCCGCTTAGGCAAAAAATTCCATCACTGTTTCTTTCCAGTGTTTCTGTGCGTTTTTTTCAATTTTCTGCGCTATTTTCTATTTGTTTTTCTCCATAAGCACCCTACAGGCATATCGTAATAGTGTCGCTGAAATTAAAGAGGGACGTTGTTTTCCAAAAATTGTTGGAGCCACCTGTGCCGAGCCCTGAACGAGAGTAGCTAAAAAAGCAGTATTTTGAGACAAATATCATGTTCGGAGGGAGTCTTGATCAATTTCTCGCTTCAAAATGATAATGAAATGAGTACTTTTAGATAAACCGTGCTGTGATTCTATAGATGTGCCTTTTTGCTGAATTTTCACTTCAGAAGCATTTGCGTAATTGCTGCGATATCTTTTATTTGCACTAGTCTTAAGCATATGATTTGCAGGCAGGATTCAATACACATGCATTTTGGACATAGAAAATATCTAGAACTTTTAAACTCAAAAGAATTTTCCGGGATCTCTACTGGCTATAAGCGCGACTTTTAATGATGTACTTTACCTGACAGGAGTATCATGGCTAACATTTCATTTTATCAAGATCTGAGTCTTATAATCAATGAAAATTAGACTGAGAATAAGAAAGTCGTGGATGACGATTAAATCGGTGGTTTAGGCTGAATTCGATGAAGCTCTCTTTTATCCAAAAGTTCCCAACTGCCTCAGAGTGGATTATTGTCAGTGCTTCTCATACACAGCAGACAGAACTACTAATTAGACCCTAATTAGACCTTCATGAGTAGAAAAGTTGTTGTTCTAAACTCTGATTTCACAACTTTCATTCTGTGTTCAAATAAAAATTTGAGCAGATATCCTTGTTGTACAGACACCTGTCTTGCCAGTTTTTTTGAGAGAATTATTTCGCACAAGTACGGGGCTTTGAGTCAAGGTGTCTAGCTTCTTCTGATGCTAAAAAGTCGTTACCGAAAATGATTAACACTATTGTTCCTTTGAGTGATTAGACCATGCTTTTTCTATACTTAGAAAAATGTACTTACAATTTGTCATTTGCTAGCAATCCTGATACAAATCATAAATACATAAACTTTGCAATTTGACCAGCTCTTTTTCATCTTAGTATGGGACAAATCGAAGGAAACCAAACTATTAGGTTGTCCCATAAGTCTTTTCATATTCGGACCTTCAATTTGATATTTCTCAAGAACTGGGGCATCTAGTAAGCTGTAAATTTTTGACAGTAATTCTGAGTGAATAAGCTATATAATCGCCTATTTTCGGGGAACACAGAACTGACACAGGCAAAATTTGAAAATTGAGCGCATTATTTTTTTCTTGGTTTCTAGCCATCAGAAAAATGCAGCAAGTGCATATATAAATATCCGATGAGAAGAGAATACGCATGAAAAAGTTGGAAATCCGCAGAGTTGTTTGAACTGAGATATGACGATTTTCATTTCTTCGAAAATCCAGAAATTTTTTTTTGTTTTGGCTGGGAACTTGAACTGATTGAGGTTTGTGCGAACTTTGAAGGCCATCTTGTAGAGCTTGCTTTGATCTGTCGAATACCACGCATTCTATTAGAAGATCAAAAAGAACTGATTTATGTCGCTGGAAATTTAGGTAAGAGAAGACTTATGGGACAACCTAATATATAATTTTATTCACACACAGTCTAGAAGACACTAACTACGACAATCTGCAAGTTTTCCTTGAGGCGAAAATGATGGGTCCAGCACAAAAGACTACAGAAGGTGTGACTGTCAAGCCTTTTATGGGTAGCCTCATTCCTGTTCCGAGATCCAATTATTGCCTTTAGAGAGAAAATCTCTTACTTTACCTAGTAATCCCCGTTTTACTTTGATTCGTACTAGTCGATTGACGTTATCTTTAGTTTTAAAATTGATTCTGACAAAAAAAGATTTCAGTAGTGCATTCGGTGCCAGGCCCTCAAAGGAGATAACATCGGAATGTTGGAAGCTGAGTAGAATATTTGTTATTCATCGTTTTTTTTTGAGAACACACCAGTGTTACATAGAAATTACCACGAATTATACTAAGCAGCCAAACTTGAGCAGTCTCTCTAAAGTTTTTTATTCAATACCCGCTCAACCATTTTCCGGATGCGTGCAAAAGCGGTACACTTGGGTTGCGAATGAAGCGATTTGAATTTCCTGTACAAAAAAAACTGTGATGAAAAAGTTCTAGTGAGCTATTCCAAAGCCAAGACGCAGTCATTAAATTCGCAAATTAGATTTTGAAACCTTATTTGGGAAGTTTATCTGATTCCAATGAGCATGATCTGCACATGGCAATAATTTAGTTATTTATTCAATGTCACCGAAGAGTATTCAATTGTTGAGAAGGTGGATCTGGCGAATCAACACAACCATTTGAACCATATTCGCTAACTTCATGTTCAAAATATCGCACATGATCTCTAACACCGTAGTGGAGATAGTATCCATTGCTAAATGAAACGACGATCGGCTTTGAACAAAAATGGTCTATTGCTAACCTGCAGTCATCATCCTCAAATATTGGCATGCCTTCACATATTCTGTACATCGAGTTTGCCGTCATGTTTGATGGAAACCAGACTTCTGTGCCATGATGGTAAGGTGAATGATTATGTAATGAAGTACATGATCTTGAGAGTAGGCGAAATGCGCACAATGGAAGATGAGCCACCTAAAATTATCAGTTTGTCATTTCTTCCCAAAAAAAACTTGTATCGCTTATTCAAGCTTATTCAAAAACTTGAGGAATTTCTACAAAGGTTGACCCACTATTATGGTATACGCTAACAAGGAAAGGATGGTTGGTCAAAGTGGCCTTTTGAGATGAATTGTATACAATGGTGGAGGGCATAAAACGCTGATTCCAAATCTGCCTTCCTTATCTGCAGCGCATTCCTGGAGGAGTTATGAGCGTTTGAAGGAGCAAAAAATGAGTGTTTTTCTGGGATAAAAACATTGGCTAAAATTTTCCCAGCCCTTGAATGAGACAGCCGGAGTGTGGATATATCTCACCTTAGAGTATTTATTTTATAGAGTGTTAAAAAGATTACCACTGGTCCATTTAAGCGCGAGGGATAATGTAACTACTGTTTTTATATTATTTGCACATTCAGTTTTTTTCTCCAATAAACGCTCATAACTTCTTGTGCAGGAACGCGCCGCAGATAAGGAAGACAGATTTGAAATCAGCGTTTCATGCACTACATAATGATATACAAGTCATCGCGAAAGGCCACTTCGACTGACCATCCTTACCTTGTAAGAGTGATTTTTCGCAGAAACTATGTACTCCTAAAGATGTGATTATTTGTCTTTTTTTCTGAATGTATTAGCAAATGACAGTAGCAGCTAGATAAGTTTTTTCGGGAGGGGGAGGGGCAGCCAAATTAATTTTTCAATGCGGGGCTTGCCTTTATCAAGCTCTTGAAAATCCTTTGGGCTGTCTTCTTGAATTTTGGCGAGCACAGGGGGCGTGGCAGCATTTACGCTTTCGAAATTTTTTTTACATAATTCGTTTACTACTGCAAAAAATCCGTGAATCCGTGATCGTTCTGAGTGAGAGCGCTCCCCCTTCCCCTTTCTACCCATCACCCGTTCTCGGTTCGCATAAATGAGTGCATGACTACATGATTCAGTTTTTGTCAAAACTGGATCACATCATAGTGAAAATTATTGGTTTCAACTTAAAACTTTACAAAAATCGTGCTAATGCTCGGAGCTCGTCATGCACAAACAGTCAAGAGGCGGCCTATTTTGAAATTTGCAATTCTTTCAAAAGTAGACAAAACGCTCTAGCTTACTACTCATCTAGTTATCATTTGCTTAGTTTCGGCTTTTGATAGGAAATTGATAGAAATATTCATGAAACTGCCATTACTTGCATTTTCAAGCGTTTCTGACCATAACATTCATATTTTATATCTGGTCTATGATAAAAAGGTTACACAGCTCAATGTTTTTAATTTTCTCAGAAAATTGAGAGGCTTATGAAACGTTGCTAAGCACTAAAATGTGCTATTTGGTTTCCATCAGGCAGTAAAAATCGAGCCTCTTGACGTACAGCTCATCAGATTTTACTCTGTCAAATAATAAAAACTAAGCTTTGGAAAATCAGTAAGGATAATTTCGTTTAATGAGAGTATGAGAGTATCTGATTCTTTTGAATTTTTACCATAGTAATAGTGTTTATCACTCACCAGGTCATATTTGTGCACAATCCTCCAACTTTTTGGCACCAACCTGCTGTGAGCTTGAGCATAATCGAAGTTGCCTACTCTTGGCTGACCATATGTAATCAGATGAATCCTTAAGTAAGACATTATGGAAAACATTTCTCGCAATACTTCGGCAAATTACAGAAGCACAGACTTGCTTTGCAAAGCAGGATGTCGATGAGCAAAGACTGTCGAAGCCAAACTGGCTAGTGCGCCACCTAGAGAATGACCTGTGAACATTATCTGGTAGTCCGGATATGTCTGCAATTCATCAACATTAGAATGGAAGTAATAAAACCAAATTACTCTCATTCACCTAATTCTTATGAAACGTGTTAGGAAAAATTTATTCTAAGCTTCGATGTATTTTACTTGAATAACATCAAAGAAAATTCAAAATTTGCATAAGAGACTCCCACCGTGTGTTGTGAAATTAGGATCCAAAAAACATGGTAGCATTTCTCAAAAAAAAGTTTCATCGTATTGTACAATTTTCCCCGTAAAATATTCTTTGCACGATTCTTTGACGTTCAAAGCACCAAAGAAGAATACAGCCGAGGTTTCATTTCTATTTTATAAAATTTCTAGTAGAAGTTGATGTATAAGTACTGTACAAAATTTTCCAAAATCATAATTTCCTCCAAATCCAACCAAATTTCATTTGATAGAGATAATTTTTGCGCTTTCTGCTTGAACAAAAAAAATCATTGCCAAGATACAGGCTGTTTGCAACAAGTACTTTTTTATTTCGGTAGCTGAAACTGCAAAAACCTTCAGAAATTTAGATTTAGTTTCGGTTTCGGGACCTGGTCTTCCTATGTAAAGGAAATTTCTGTTAATCAGATTATCTCTACAACAGTTATAGTTTCGTTTAATAGATTACACCATTCATTATATTAGGTGATGACTTAAGGGTGCAGGAAAGCAAAAATCCAGATCTTTTGTCAATTTTCCAAAAAATCATGTTACAAAAAAACAAACTGAAAGGTTGTATGCACTACTGGTATGGCGTACGGGTCAGCAGTTACGATTTTTCGGATAGCAATGCCGGCGACGCCAAGCTGTACAGGCCTCAGCTACTGTCAGCTGTACAAGCTGTACAAGCTGTACAGGTCTCACTTCCTGTCGCAATGTTACTTATGGCATCGAGTCCTGTATCAGCCGCCTCCCCTCATCCCCCCCCCCCCATCCTACTGTGGTGCCGTGCCACTTTAGCACCGAAAAGCCTTTGTAAGGCACATTTACACGCGGCGGGCGGCCGCCGCGCGGTGTGACTCCTGGCGCGTAGCCGCTGGTACGCACTACGATTTTGATATTTCCAACATTTGCGTGGCTATAGATGGTCAAATTCAAGCGATCTGGACTGCACAAGAATTGACCTCCTCGCGTAAATGTTTGGATTTTATATTTCCGGCTAATTAAAAAACAGCAGTCACAATTTGATGGTGGTTCGCCATATAGCCAAAGGTTATGTGTATCCAACAATTAAATTACTCATCTGCGCAATAAGCCCAGCTTAGAACGGAACTTGGATATTCAAAATAATGATTCTTCTGAAGTATAGCTGTACAAGGTCTTGACTGTCCTTTGTCAAAATAGAAAATCCTGTGCAATGAGTATGTGACAGCAGAGGTTTGAAGTTACCAATGCGCAAAAAATCCTGACCAAATGAAAGTTACTTGAATCGTTGTAGAGCTTTGATGTTGCTTGTCAAAACGAAATTATTCATTAAAAAACTTAATAAATCTTATAAAGAGTAAATAATCTCTCTTTGAAAAATTTCATCAGACAATTTTAAAATAACAATTTCACAGGAGAATATCAAGTTAGCCACACAAAATAATAAAAACTGGTTTTCAAATCACTCTAAAGCCAGAAACTTACAGCATGTAATTTCCTAAGCACAACGTGCATTTGTCTCCACACAGCATTTAAAGCAATGTAAAAGTAATGCTGAACTGCACCGCCAGCGCGAATCTGAAAAACAAGAAACAGTGAAGGGATAAAACATACTGGACCCACCTACCAAGCTAATGAAGTACCTTTTTCTTCGGTTCACTCATACTTTCAATTAATTCGGTGATTAGTTGCACCTTTGTGCGTGTTCCTCGAAAAGCGACGATAATCCAGCCGTCACGCATTGCCACATAACCCCAGCACTGCAAACCATAAATAAAATTCAAAAATCAAGGGGGTAAAGATTGAAATTCTACCTCATCTTTCGAATAGTCGCACGGTAACGTTAATCTGTAGACTAGCGAAGCATTATGTTTTACCAAGCATAGATTCGGATCTTGACCATATGCTGCTGCTGTAAATCAGTTATGAGAATTCAATAACAACAAAATTTGAGATTAGAAAATTACAGTTATTTCTAGAGGCATTTGAATAGTGCGAATTTACGTCAGTTGAAAAAGACCTGCAACTAATCAAATTTTGTTCAAATATTTTCTGAACTTTCCAACTTCTGCAGATATTGAAACAAATTTTGATTCACATTTTATGATTCGCTCGCTCTTTCTGAGGTAAACTAGAGTAATCAAATGTCTCTATGGATAGTTCAATTTTCGATTTTTTCATATTGATGGGATTGAAAATATTAGGTCGTTCCGAAAGTAATGTCGCTTTTTTCGAATGTACGCCACTATTCGTGGAATCAACATTTCTAAGAGTTCTTAGGAGCATTCGATGCAGCATTTCATCCTCTTTCTAATGGCTCTAATTGCACTGTATAATGTTCAATGAGCTCTCGAAAAATTACCAAAATCTGCGACCCATGCTTTTTGTCATGCTCAAGTTCGGCTATTTTTCTAAATTTTTATACCTAATCCACGAAAAAGTACAAGTGGCAGATAGATAGAGCAAACGCTATAGAATACAGTAATTTTTTCTTTCCCTTAGCTTGCTGCTCAGAGTTTCTACAACCAATTTCTCAATGCCATCAAATTTCATATTTAATCAAGTCAAACCTCACAGAACAATAACCGGCAAGCGACTCGGGTGTCATTCGATGCAGCTTTTTCTCCGCTTTCTAGCTTTTGTTTTTTGTTTCCGATTCATCAAGTTTTCCGGGATAAAATGGATAAAATCATCATAATTCAACTTTTCCAAGGTGTACCAGAAATTTTCGAAAATTGCTAACCGAGACGGTGAATGCTCGTTTGGTTTGCAAAATTGTTGCCGAACCATAATCCATCTTTCTAAGTTTCAAAATCCGAAGACTTGTTGGCGTTTGATGCACTTGTGTCTGAGACGAGCCTGCTAAAATTCGGTGGTTCCATCAAAAAATCTGTACAAAAATTATGACGAGCTCTGAAAAGTGGAAAAAAGTTGTGCTGTTTTCTGTAGGGTTCGCTCCATCCATCCATTACTTGGACTCCTGAGGTTTGTTATAAAATTTTAGAAAAATTGTGAAATCTGGCCATCTCAAAAAGCATAGGTCGCAGATTTTGACTCTTTTCTGTAAGCTCATTGACTGTATTGCAACAACTTCATAACCATTAGAAAGAGAATGAAAGGCTGCATCAACTGCTACCAGAATCTCTTACATACTTTTGTTCCACGAGATGTGGCATACGTTTGAAAAAAGCGACATTACTTTCGGAACGACCTAATAAATTGCTTAATACCTATTTTAAGATAGGTTTTACAACGATCACAGTATCGCACAGATCAAATTAATTACCTGAGATTTCAAAAAAATTTTCAGAATTTTTGGTGCAAGACATTCCATACGAAAATTACAATAAAAACATTTGCATATGAAGACCAAGACTGGAACAAAACTCCACAACCTTTTAATTTCCATAACGCTACGTAGATTAGTTGCGAATCTTGAAATTGTAACATCCCGCTTCAATCAATCTAGACTCGGTTTTATATTATAATTCTATAAAAAAATAAAAATAGGCAACTTGTCGCGATCATGATTCAAGGGTTTCCGCTTACTAAATACTTTCATTGCTACAGATCAACTCGCAAAATTGGCATATATGGGATCACATGGAATAAGGGTAATTTTGGACTAAGAAAAATTAGAGATACAAATACAAAAGTTTAACAGATTGGACACTATTGTACTATTTTGACTGGAACGAGAACTCAGGTCAACATTGCCAATAGACTTCTTTTTGAATATAATTACCAGGCTTAGATTTTCATTTATTTAGTTTGACTTTTGATTTGGGCACAAATCTTTCAACCTGGTAAAATGAAAACTATACAACCTCAACAAAAAACAAAAATATATCATACCAGCAAAGTCGAACACCCACAAGGCTTGATGAAGGCTAAAAAGCTCCGCATCGTTGGTCGTTTTTACGCGATTTTCTCGTTCTTTGGCAAAGACGTCGACAAATAAAGCACATAGAAACGAAAATATGAACAGCATGGAACGTCCGCCTAGAGAACGTTTTTCAAGGTATCTTGGAAGTATTATAAAATAAATAGAAGTCAATTAATCCATCATATAGCAGTGAACAGTTGCAAAAAAGGGTCATAGGTTGGAAACGAACGAGAGAACTGGTGCGTGATCGATATTAGCGGACGATGACAGCTGATACCTGGATGTAGCGGCTCCTTTGAAATATGCACCTCAGGTCAAGACGTGATGATGACTAAGAAATTTGTAATTGAGCGGAAACAGTCCAGCTGCTTCGCTTATTTTCGGTTAGTTCAATCATTCATATTGAGATGCTACATAAGTTCTATCCGATTTTTCTTTGCCTTATGTTTGAAGCAACTGTTTTAGAAGAATTTCATTTCTAATGCGATATTGTTAGTAAGTTAGAAAATGGTTTTCTTGCTCTTTCTAACGCATATCAAATTTCAACAAATTTCTTAGGCCCGTATGCACGTACATCCCCGCTGGGAAGGGGAGGGATCTGAGAGGGGACGCGTCATATCTCGCTACTCTACGTATCGTTCTTCTTCTTTCTCTATCTTGCTTTGAAGTTTTTCATACACGTATGCCTGCGCGTAATGGATGCCAGATTACTTCCATACAAGATTGGTTTTTTGCAATTTTGTGTGATGCCTTGGGGATCCCCATGGAATCACCTTTCATTTTCAAAGTCATTTATCTTCCTGAGAAGTCAATGGAAACGCCGCAAAATTGTACTGAGGATATACTACGGCACTGCTAAGCATGTTTTCGACGAAGAAATGGAATCTGAAGATTGTGAATTTTTCGATGATCCCTAGTTTTCGAGCCAGGGATTACCAAAGATTTCGATATCCTGAGATTTCACTTATTTCTACTATAAACACATCTTTAGCAGTGTCGTGATATATCCACTGTATAATTTTACAGCATTTTCATTGAGTTTTCAAGAAGATAAATGGCACTGAAATTGAGAATTGATCCCCTGGGGATCCCCAGTGGATCACACATAATACTGAAAATCTAGCCAATTATGCCAGCAACCTGGCATCAATTATGTGCAGGTATTAGGGTATGAGAACCTTGATAAGCAAGATAGAAAACGAAGAAGAAAGATACGTAGAGTAGCGAGCTATGACGCATCCCTCTCAGAACCCCTCCCCTCACCAGCGGGGATGTACGTGCCTACGGGCCTTAGTGTGAGGAGATTTTAGATCTAAAATCTCTAAGTGGCAGAGCTACGTTTTCGCCCTAGAAATATGTTCTTGCAAGAAAATCTCCATAATGCGCATTTCAAATTAGGTCCCTTTACCTGTTCCGTAATAAGGCTGTAACAGTCCAGTACATGCAAAGCTCAAATTCATGAAGAAAACATCTTGCTTGTAAAATCTGTTGTCGAACATTAATATTTTGCATAAATGTTTTACAAGCATTAACTTTCTGCGAAGAAGTAATCGATGAATTCAATGTTGCAGGTGCTAGAGTGAAGCAAGAGCTAGCACAGCCCATCCACCAATTCCTTTTCGACGCTCACGTCAATTGTAAAATTTTCATGATTCGTAAGTAGGCATGCGCACATGTGCTGAAGCGAAGCCGAAAAGTGCCTTCTCTTTTGCTCGGTCAAAAATCTCTTGGCAACGCAGACCCTATGGGCTCCTTTATGTTAAAAAAATAATCTGCGGAAATTTCTCTATTTATCTATTGTTAGAAAAGATGCCCATTAATTCTCATAAGGGGAGCATAGCCATATCAAAAAGGACAGATTTGAATAAAAACGCTGTGGTGTTTTTAAGCTCTTAGTTCTTCCTTAACAAGGTCTGTATGTGTCAATGCGTCTGATAGCAAAGAAACTGCCTAACTCATAAACTAAAATCTTGGAAAAAAGTTGACTTTGAAAGAAGTTATGACATTTTGAACTCAAAAAATTCAAATCGGACAGAACTTATGCAGCAGCCTAATACAAAGATTTGAACATTCTTGCTACTATCAGGTCGTAATATAAGCTTTGTTACACTTGAAGGCATAAACACATAACTTTCTTAAATTTCTCAACTTTAAATTGAGTCGATGCTTGTATTTTGATATAGAGATATCACACATGAAAAATCTGATTTTTAACCTTTTTTAAATTTTTCTGAATTATTCTTGACAAATTTCCAGTCTACGTCACTAAAGAAACTAAATTTTCAAACTGCCTCTATATTGGTACTAAAGTCCATAGAAATTGATAAAAAAATTTGAGAGCTTGAAAAATTGAATGAGGGAATTTTTGGAGGAAAAAATGAAGATTCAAGTATAGTCATATAACTGCCTCTATTTTACTGCAGTGTACATCTGTAAAGGTGAAAATGATGCCAACAGATAGTTCTTTGTCCATTGCTCATATACGCCAAATATGAGACTTTGCTAAAGTTTCTAAAATTTTTTTAGAGGAAGGTGAAAATTCTGTCAAAAATTGTCACAAAACTCATTTTACGACCTAATATCGTAATCGAGCAGTGGCGTACCCAGGATTTCGGCTCGGGGGGGGGGACAAAAAAAATTTTCTAATGAAGGTGCGTGGCGTTAGCCACGCATTCCGGAAAAATTTTTGGGGTGCTTCTAAAAATTTTTGCGGGTCCCCAACCCCTGCCGCCGAAAAAAATTTTTTTACAAGGCTAATTTGTATTTTTAAAAATTTTTGAAAACTATTTTAATGATTTACAAGTAAAGACAAGTCCTTTGCACATTTTTATAACACATTTGAGTAACTTTCAAAAATTTCGCGACCCATTCTCGGGGGGGGGGGGCCCGTCCCCCCTTTCTGTACGCCACTGTAATCGAGTACTAGGGCCTCGATCTGAAACTATCGCACAAGCCGTGTTTATAAACGTGCTTTAAGCGTTGTTGAAAATTTGCAATTCGAATTCTCGCGTCCGTAAACGCAATGCGTTTACGGACGCGAGAATCAAAGTTAAAAGAATCAAGAATCGAGAATCAAAGCGTCAAAGTTAATTGTCATAATTCACTTGTGGGAGTTACGAATTTGGCTGATTCAGTGGTGTGCGACGTGTTTGTTTCAGAGATGGACCTGGCAAAATTCGGTGGCCTTATGAAATCTTATCAGATTATAGCAAATATGGGAAAGAGAAAAAAAATGCAATGTATTAGGTCGTCCCAAAAGTACTTTCGCTTTTTTGAACAAGCGCCACAGTCCGCAGAACAAAGGTACACAGGAGCTCTTGGTAGCATTTGATGCAGTTTTTCATGCTCTTTCTGATGGTCGCCTCCATAATGCAGATGATGCAACGAGCTCTCGGAAAATCGCTACAAACTGCAACTCATGCTTTTTACCAAGGTCAGGTTCAGCTATTTTTCTAAATTCTTGTACTGATTCCCCGAAGAAGTCCAAGTGACCTGTCGATGGAGCAAACAAATTATGATGCTAAGCAATTTTTGTCCGTTCCATAGCTTACTTTGAAAATTTTTTAAAATTAATTTTTCGATGATATCAAATCCCCAGTGGCGGACCGAGGGTGGGCGGGGGGGGGGGGGGAGCGCGCCCCCCCCCCGAGAATGGGTCGCGAAATTTTTGAAACTTACCTATATGGGTTGTAAAAATGTGCAAACGACTTGTTTGCGCTTGAAAATAATTAAAATAATTTTTAAAATTTTTTAAAAATTCATTTTAGCCTTATAAAAATTTTTTTTTCGGGGGCGTGGCTGACGCCACGCCCCCTTTTTCCAGATTTTAGGGGTCGGGGACCCGCAAAAATTTTGAGAAGCACCCCAAAAAATTTTTCGGAGTGCGTGGCTAACGCCACGCACCTTCTTTAGAAAAAAATTTTTGTCGCCCCCCCCCCCGAAAAAAATTTCTCGGACCGCCACTGCAAATCCCATATTTGGTCAACTTAAACCTCATAGAACAAAAGCCGACAAGCAACTCGGGTGTCATTCGACAGCACTTTCTCTTCTTTCTAAACATGTTTTTTGTCCCTGATTCGAGACGTCTTGAAGGATGAAATCGACAAAATTCATGTTTTTCAAGGAACCCCAGGCTGTACGCAACAAATTAGAAATTACATATTTTGAACCCTGGAACGCTCAGTTGTTTCGTAAAATTGGTGCTAAATCCTAATCCACTTTGAAAGTATCAAAAATTGAGAGTTTATGAAGTTTGACGAGTCTGCGCCTGGTACGGAACTTCTAAAGTTTCGACGGTGTTGTTCAAAATTCTGTGAGATTGAAACTGTTTTGTATCCTACTAAAATTTCGACGGTGTTGTTCAAAATTTTGTCAGAACGTTATGGGGAGCCCCGGGAAGGAGATTGAAACTGTTTTGTATCCTACTTTCTTTGCTTCATCCGCTGGTTACTTGGACTTCTTCGGGGGATCAGTATAAGAATTTAGAAAAATAGTGGAACTTGACCTTGGTAAAAAGCATGGGTCGCAGTTCATCGCAATTTTCTGATAGCACATTGTTTCAACTGCTAAATAAAGATGACTACTTGAAAGAGAATAAAAAACTGCATCGCATTTTACAAGAGCTTCTGTTCACCTTTGTTCTGCGGATTGTGGCGCTTGTTCAAAAAAAGCGAAAATACTTTTGGGACGACCTAATATTTTGTTGGGTTGTCCTACCCGCTATTTGGACTTCTTCGGGGATTTAATATGAAATATATAATGAAAACTGACCATCCTAGAGAGCAGATTGTCGGGTCGCAGATTTTGGTAATTTTCGTAGAGCTCATTGAATGTGCTGCAATGAGTTTTCAACCTTTAAGGGGGAGAATTGAAATGTTGCATCAGACCCAGGGCTCGGCACGAGTCCGTTTTTAGGCTTTTTGGAAACGAAGTCCCCTCTGACCTTCAAAAATTTTACGAAGTCTCCTTTGACCCTTGTTCTACCCCCCCCCCCTGTTGGTGAATCCTTGCATACTCATCTATGTGGTTCAAAACCATTTACCTGCTGCAAGCTGAGAATCTCGCGACTTCAGGTCAACCTCTCAAATAAAAACCACGAAATCCACAGAATTTTGTTTCATAAAGCCCTACATGGTAACAAAACGATCAAAATAGGTCAACGAGCTGAAGAAAGGAGGAGAAGAAGAAAGAAGAATGGAAGAAATCGTTAAAATATTGAAAAAAAGCTAGAACTGAGAATGAAAATTTAAAAGGAGAGGATGCAGGAAAGTTGACGCTGGGGCGCGATATCTGATAAGGCGTTTTTCGAAAAAAGGAGAGGGTAAAAACGACGGAGAGGGAGTGGTATGAAAATATTTCTATGCTTAGGGATAGATTCTTGACCGGGGAATCCGTCCATGCTAAAAAGATCCAAAACTTATGTGAAGTGACGAAAATATATGCTCCAGACGATCTCAGATCGTCTGGTGGCCGTCTGGAGACGATCTAATTTTGGAAAAGGTATTACTTCTCATAAGTTTTCAAATCTTTTTACATAATCCTTCCTAAAAGAATTTTTCAAGTATACAGTCCAATTCTGGTGCCATGTGATTCTGCGTGTGCTGTAAACAAGCAATTTGTTTATTCTAGCCTTGCTTTCAAATCGCGCGCACTTTTCGTCATACACGATAGAGCATGTCAATCGTGTTATAACCTGTCCGAAAAGCTTGTGTTTACTAAATGGCGGTTATTCTTTGTGCTCGACCCGACTGGTCAAAAACGAAATCCCCTCTGCTTTTTGCTCCAAAAACGAAGTCCAGCCTGCTTCCAGACGATCTGTGCCGGGCCCTGATCAGACCACATCTCTCAAAAATCTTTGTTACATTACATGTGACGTTCATTTTAGAAAAGCTACATAACTATCGAAACTGCTTGATATCCGGTCAATACAGATTTAGAGCCACTTCTCTAGTGAATGCTAAGTTAATGCACGTTTTCTTGGAAGCATTTCTGAAGCGGCTTTCTGCAATCCTCTCGAAAGCTATACAAATTGTTTCAAGGTTTTTCTTACACCTGCTTATGCACGCGAAGACCAATTTCTTACTCTCTCCTTTCGAACTACAATTTTTGTCACAAGGTATTCTATGGTCTAATTCTCTCTAAGGAACTCAAAGTAGACTTAGAGCGCGTAGGTAAGATACTCAGCTTGCAGGAAGAAAATCTGCATAAGCAGATTCCAGCTCATCATTTATTTAATTCAAGTCGTTGAAACTGCTGAAACGATGAAATCATCAATTGTCTAAAAAGCCAACAACACCATACAATGGTAAATCGTTGTGGTTGACCCACAAAGGCCTAAAAGCACCAACTTTGCGGAAAATCTACAAAAAAAGCAGGTCAGAACAGAACAACAGAAAAAACCGTATCGTGCATCCCGATCACTGCAAGTTACTAAACAAACAGTAGTTTTTGTAAGCAGGGTGCTCTCTCAGTCAAGGCTACTGAAGCATACGGGCTGTTCCGGCTGCACGTTCCAAGCTAGCAAGGCAAACTGTAACATGTATTACCTGTATTACATTGAAAAAGAAGGCTGCTTTCAAACTAACCTTAAGCTAACTAAAGTGATATCATCTCTATTTTCTAGTCAATCACTTTTTTCTTCACCATTCATCGTCCGCATCCCAACTTTTGAACAAATTTTGACGTTGACAAATGCTGGATAGGCAAGACAGTCTGCTTAAAGTTGGTTTGAAAGCAGCCTTCTTTTTCAATGTAATACAGGTGATACATGTTACAGTTTGCCTTTGCTGGCTTGGAACGTGCAGCCGGAACAGCCCGTATGCTTCAGTAGCCTTGACTGAGAGGAGTACCTGCTTATGGAAACTACTGTTTGTTTAGTAACTTGCAGTGATCGGGATGCACGATACGATGTTTTTTCTGTTGTTCTGTTCTGACCTGTTTCTTTTTGTAAATTTTCCGCAAAGTTGGTGCTTTCAGGCCTTTGTGGGTCAACCACAACGACTTACCATTGTATGGTGTTGTTGTGCTTTTGAGACAATTGATGATTTCGTTTTATGATGTATACTGCACTGACCGATTGTGCTAATAAACAATGGAATTCATGCTTTTGTGCGATTGTTTTTCGAGAATGACTCCTCGTGCCTGAAGTAGAAGTTCACCGGAGTAGTCTCAACTACGGAACACTCGCTGTTTTCATTAGATTGCTCAGAACACGAGATAATGATCGCCGTCAGCAGTGCTCAATCGATTTAGAGGGCAGTGGGAAAATTGCGATCGGGTCCGACACGAACAGCCTGATTACGGTCCTTGCCTTTGTTGGGAGGGCCATATAGAGCACCTCAACAAGATTGAACGGAAGAAAGAGAACTGAAGAAGTTCGTCTCCTCTGAATTGGTGGCATGCTGTGAGCGACTCCCAATCACGCGCTTGGAGAGGCTTGCCGCCATCATACAGAATATTTGCAGGGCTGTAACTAGGCGAGGATGAGAAGATTTGGGAAAATCCAAAAAGTGTAAGGTCTTGATGTGGAACAAGTTGTGTTGAACTTGTGAAGAAATTATGTAAAGGAAGGGACGTTTCCGCCCCCCCCCCTTTCCAGCCACCTGGACAGCCACCTCAGGTGGCTGTCCAGGTGGCTGGAAAGGGGGGGGGGGGCGGGCGTTAGGTACCCAGCCGAGGTGCGGGCGTTAGGTACCCAGCCATTAGGTGTATACACTGAGCCACGCCCTTTGTTGTTTTAACAGCGGGTACCTAAAGATACACCTAATTATAGCTGCCAGAACAGCTCACCTAGCTCGCTATAACGCTGGCGCTTGCAACCCATAGGAAAGAGGAGTTCGAGGAAATCAAAAAGAAATTGCGCAAATGAAAGAGCAAGTTTGTATGCAATTTGAGAATCACAGAAATTCGGTGATAAAATTCAAAAACAGTAAAGCTTTCATGAGCACTTCACATCGTTTTGCAAGAAAAATTAAAAAGTAAACTTTGTAGAATACTAGTAAACCAATTTTTTGTGATTAATGAAGCAAAGCGCACCTTCGGAGTTGCTTCTGGCACTTTGTTTGCACGAAATATTCTTTGTTTCAAAAAACTGCTTCAAGAATATTTTTGACAACGATAAGTGGAACCGATTGGAAAATTATCTTCAACGAGAACTTGTCATCCGAAATCAGAACTTTATGAAGGTCTATGTGACCCATAATTTATGGAGGCACTGGCTCTGTTCCAATCAATGGAAATTTTGCATTATAGAGGGAGAAGCCAATTCTGATGGGGTGTGTGCCAATAGAATAAACAGGAAAAAGCAACAAACTCTACTGAGAGCATATTTGACAAAATCCTTCACTTCTCAGTTACAAAAAAATTCATAGCAATGGATAAATTGATCATATTTTGGCTGCTAGAGAAGAGAATGAATATGAAACAACTGCAATATTAAAGTCGCAAAAAAGCACTGCACATAGACATGATAAAATACCGTAGCTAAAAAGTTTCCATATGGGATGTGAAATCTTCCAAATGAAAAAATTTCTTTATCAGTGTAATGTTCCATAGATCTGCTGGCCTTAGTAATGACCGAGGTAATAACCTTGATAATCTAAGATAATGTAGGTTCACAATCCTTGTGGCCATTTTAACGCGCCTATAACTTCACACCCCAAAACGAGGCCGACGACAATATGTGAAAGGAATATTCCGTGCAACTTATTTGCAACATTCGCTTCATTAAATAAAATTTTGGTTCACTGGAGTTCTAGAAAGTTTACTTTTTTGAAAATTTTCCCTACATTATGGGTTAGATTAGATCATCACAATTTTTTCTTGCAAAACTATGTGAATTGCTCATATGAGCTTTACCTCGTCAGAGAATTTCTGTGATTATAAAACTGATTTCAACAAAAAAAGCAGCAGAAGAACGTTGCGTACAAACTTGTGCTTTCATTCCCGCAATTTTTTTTGATTTTCTCGAATTATCTCTTTTCTGTGGGTCGCAGGTGTCAGCGCTTTAGCGAGCTAGGTGAGCTGTTCTAGCACCTAGGATTCCGTGTATCGTTAGGTACCCACTGTTGAAGAACCAAGGGGCGTGGCTTAGTGTTACACCTAATGGTTGGGTACCTAACGCCCGCACCTCGGCTGGGTACCTAACGCCACGCACCCGCTGGAAAGTCACCTAACTGCGAAAAAAGTTTGACAAGTCTTTAGTTCAAAATTCTTCATGATTTTTCAACATAGTCCTAACTCCCTATAGCCTATATATACACGAATTATGGTGTCATTTCATTTTCTCTTCGCTGTAAAAAAGGCTTTTTATTTCGCCGCAGGTTTTTGGAATCGCGCGCTTAACTGGCGAACCTTTTGAAACAGGAATTTTTTGGTTTTTGCAGGAATGGGGTCATAAGTAAAAACGACAAAGTGAAAATTACATAAGAGAGAGAAGTGGTTGTGGGGGAGAGAGAGGAGGGCTAGAGTTTCCTTGAACGATACTCCCCTTCCTTTTTAACTGCTTCTAGGGCGCTACTAAACACCGAAAATTGCTATTTTGTGTCTATCGGCAATAAAAAATGCGCCTTTAGCATACACCCGTCAGGCCTTCATCAGAGTTTGCATCCGAACTCTTGCAAAGTATGGGAGAAAGGCGAGATCAATGTCGTCTTCAGCAAACGATTTTCAACCGTTTCTCGAGTAGGGCTATCAGCAATCCGCCCTGAAATGCATGGCATGTCTGGTCCGGATAAGTTTCATTACTGCTGAACTGCTCAAAACGCCATCGCGAT